CTAAAATCAGTGGTGCGGATCAGCTGGAAGAGCTTGCGGTAATTGCCTACTGCTCCTACCTCCTCCATATCTTGAGCCCTACTGGTTCACTATGTTTCCTTGTCAGCACCTAGGCTCTGCTTTAGTTCGCGCCTAATAGTCCGTCTGTCCACATTGTGCTCAAAACCAGTCCAGAGGTCTCTTCTAGATTCCAACAGGTTTACCGACCACTTAGATATCTAATGACTGATGCGGTGACGATTGTTTGTGCCACAAGCAGATGCTCCTGCGTCGTGCATGGCGGCCGAGACCCTATTGCGTTGAAGCTCAGTGTCATTAGGACAAGACAGCGAAATTTCGTTACACAGCGCCTCATGATAGGCTTGCCTGACCGAGGACTGAGACAATTTCTCCGTTGCCAATAGGAGGAGACGCTTGGTGCGCCTCCCGGTAAAGTGCATGGAGAATCCACAGCGCACCAAGGCATGATCTGAGTCGACGCAAGTACTCCAGTACGAGCGGCACTCCAGGATGGAACCATGCCATCTGTAACTTATGGCTATGTGGTCAATTTGGGTCCATCGCTGGCTAGCTACAGGAGGGCGCCAAGTGGCACTTCGGCGCCCACTGTGTCTAAAAGCAGTGCTACTAAGAAACAACTGGTGCTCCGCACACAGTTGCAGCAGACGCTCACCGTTGTCAGCTCGTTCGGAGTTAGGCCCATAATTACCACCCAGCTGAGCTTCTGAAGAACTCAGACGCCCTACTTAAGCGTTCACATCCCCTGGAAATACTATAATATCTGAACTAGTAGCACTGCGTAGTAGCGCGTTCAGTTCGTGATAGAATGTTTTCTTGACAGCATTTGTACTGCAGTCGGTGGGAGCATAAACGGAAATCACAAACAGCGTTTGGTACTACTTCGTAAATCCGCCTTAATTGATGTCGTCAAACGGGCTGCACATAAATGGCTGTTCATCGGAATCCAATCAACCAACGATCGCTCAACCCTGGAGCTTAAAATGATACCTACACTAGCTTGACCCGTGAGTGCTGCATCGGCGTCTCCGGATGCGTGCGACCAATAACGAGAGGATAAGCCGGGTGCAGTTAATCCAATAACCCCGTTAGTATCATTGACCCTAGTTTCGGGCACGCAACACACATCAATACCCAGTGTGTCCAAAATGCGTGCGAGTACAGCCTGTTGACCAATTTTCTTAGAGTGTGAACGTTGAGCGTCGCCGTGGAAACGGGACAGCGTGGTCTTATGAGGGACATTTGCCAATAGGCGTCCGATAGGTGTTGTGGGATGGTGGCTGCAGTTGGTGCTACTCCAGTGGCACTTCAGTTGCTGTCAATTAAGCTGGGAATTAGAGAAGGAAGGTTAATAATGGGGGTCCGGATGGGAGTAAAAGAAAAAGGTGGAAAATAAATAAGGGAGGCGCCAGCAGTAACATGTTTTCGTTTATCCGCTCTGCTGTATGCAGCAGAGAAGGCGACCCTTGATAATCTGCGCGACGGCCGATGCAGGATGAAGTTTATATCTGAAGAAAATGTCATGGTTGTATGTGGACTGAGATACTGCTAGGGCGCCCAGACCTAGACAGGAGGACGATTAGGGTCCTCATCCAAAGCCTTTGGCTCAAAAGCCTGTCCGCAACGCAGTGGGGAGGTGGCAATGATTTAGTTTTACAGAAATGGACGCCATCCCATTTCAAACCCCCAACCTGGAGGATCAGGAGACTGAGTTTGTCTGACTTCTCACCATTGACCAACCTGGTAGGAGTAGCTCTCAAGGTGCTCGGAGGCATCACCCAGTATAGCACAATGGGTCAAGTAGGTACGCACATCGTCGCACCACGTTAAGGTTCAGCCTCGTTGCGACGGTGAACGGTGCTTGCCGGAAGCTAAACAGACGAAAAGAAAGAGAGGAAGCAAATTGCAGCGCCCATTCTGCCTGCGATATCAGACCAGTAGTGGTTGGGATCATTCCGTGCTGAGCGCTAGTCCTCGTCTTAAGCAACGGTAGCCTGGGGAATTCATGAGACGTGCTTCTCTCGCTTTAGCGGATAGTGTCTTCAGTAATCCAGTCCTTCATAGGCTTAGAGGTAAATGATGAAAATGAAATGTGTCAGCTTATACGCCGTAACGGCGCTTCGCTGCCGCGCGACCACCACCAGTCGCGCGCGGGCTGAGTATACCGCGAGGACGCCCACCCCTACGCGGATTCGAACCGGTGACCTTATGGTTGGAAAGCAAGCATGCCAACCACTCGGCCACCGGCCGACGCTTAGAGGTAAAGCCCAGAGTAGATAAAGCGGCGCGCTGAACTGACGACTTTAGCCTAGACCAACGAGCGTCTACAGATTCATCTTTTGCAATTACGAAGCGTGGTGCACTGGCAGAAATTTCTGCTTCTATTGCTGCCTCAAGGGATCGGTAGCAGTCAGTATTTTCCAGTGCGGCAGTGTTGATACGCTTTGGTGGAAAGATATTTCGGCGCATTGTCAAGCGGAGTCTGAATTTGGCGCGCAGGAGTACGTAATTCGAACCACCTTTATTGTCAGTTTCAGCCCCTCTGCACCTTAGACAGTCATTGACGAAGGACATCCACCTGGATCGCATTAATAGGTAATCGAGCTAGCGTGCTGTACGACCATCGTTGGAGTACCTCGTCAGAAGATGCTACGTGGGATGCTGGAAGCGAGTATTAATTACGCACAACCGGTTAAGATCAGCGACGCTGAGCAAGCGATCTTCATTATCACAGCGCTCTTCAAGAGCGTGTCTCCCGAGTATGTGAGCTTTTCTTCAAACGTAAACTTCATCCTGCGTCGGCCGTCGCGCAGAGTATCAAGCGTCGCCCTATCTGCTGCATACAGCATGGCGGATAAGCGGAAACATGCTACTGAAGACTCGAGGTGGACAGAAGTTGACTTCGCAGCGGGAAATGAAGTCATTGACGACCAAACTGGATGCCGTTGGTCCGTCTCGCCTTCTGGGCTGGAGCCCACGTGTCTCGTCCTGTGCTTTTCTTGATACTTTACAGGACATGGTACGCAACCGAAACCAGTGGCGCGTCTGCTGTCGTCTCCTAATCGGATTACCTGTTTAAAGTGTGTTTGGTGCTGAGTTATCTACGGCGTAAGGGCTGATTATGACGCGGGGCAGTGGAAGCCACAAGGGAGTTGTCTCGCCGATGCCGCCTTATCTTTGCACGATAGTCAGCTGTTTGTGCCAGTATGTTGTCTACACAAGGTGTAGGCGCCTTGACCCCGAATGTTTGCTTGGAACATTAAGGTTTTCAATGAAGTCTGCCTTCTCTCCTTCATATTATCCTTTATTCCACGGGTTCTCGTGGTTTTATGGCAGCGAAGCATCAGTTCAAATGACTGATGTATTGTTGTTGTTGTATAAGTTCGGAGTGTTTAGCATTTTTTAAATGAGTCCATCAATTCCGTAAAATAAGTAGATCGTAAGCAGTTACCCATAACACCCTTAAATTTGGATTGGGTTACAACTTGTATGGCACATTGCCCAAGAAATCCAAAGACAAGCGTGCTGAAGTTAGATATGAGCATCAATTCCTAATGATATTTAATGGTTTAGACCGGTAGGTTCGATAAAACAGGAGGTAAACAGATATAATTAGGTGAAAGACGCGGTCGGAAGAAAACTTGAAATTTAGGAACCCGCATCCCGTTTCTAGGGAAATGTGGAAAAACGATTACGTTATTTGAAAAAGTAAAGATGTAGGGTCCAGATAAGCAGGTTAATATACCTAATATATACTTAATACACTTAATATACAATCTAAGAATAAACCGTAAGTCATGTCCGGGAAAGGTAAGCTTGTTAGCAAACATGAACAAAGACAGGTGATAGTGGTATCAAACGTAGGAAAGAGCAGCATGGTGGTGAATTTCCGCTCGGTGTTAGTGAGTGAAAACCAACTAAATCTTGTGCCAAATGTCACATGCGTGAGGATAACCAATGATTTCTTTGGGCGTTCGGGCACAATAGCCCATGCAAATAAGAGATGGGTAATTTGCAGAAACAGATAAAGTGTAGTTAATGATTAGAAGGGTTAACGATGGTGCCAAATGAGTTCATGTGTACGCGCGAGCACTACTTCAACAAGACGATACATCAGCTATCAGCGACCAACATGGTACATAAGAGGACTCAGAATCGGAAATGAATAAACTACCATATATCGTTATTCAACACATAAAATAAAGGTGAGAAACAGCCTCGCGATTGCGCTGTATATCCGAAAAGAAGTGTAAAGCAAAATTCTGAGGGTAGCTAAAGTGCAATGTCCTCGGATGACAGTTGAGTTAAGAGAGAAAGCAGTTAATTGCTTACGCATTACAGATAACTTCCTAGCAAATACAAGACCAAATTAGAGCGGGTATTAGAGTGCTTTATCTGTGAAGTTCAGTATTTATTTGCATTTTTAATTCCTATTTTTCAATTGAAAGAATAGCTGAATCGAAAGTGTCTATGCCGTAACATCCAACAAGCACAACTGGGACGTTATTCTGTTGAACGAATACAAATCCGGGTGGTTCCAGAAACATTCGGCCGTTGCTAATCAATGGGGGACTATTTGTTCGAGCGACATCCGTGCACTCCTTCCCATTTATCGATAAGTAAAATATTGCGTTAATGATAAAGCCATTTGAGTCTGTTTGTAGTTGCTAGTGCAAAACGCTGAAAATATATATCTGTATACGTACAGTAAGCTTAACTTGATTTAAAAATGGTCTTTAGGTGATTAACAGAATCCAGATGGTAGAAAACGTTACATAAAAGTGGATCTAACGGGAGCGTGAAAGATGCATCTTAACAGACACAGAGTACGAAGGGTTAAAAGCAAAGTGTTCCACCGCAAAGAAACACAAATACTAACGTGAAAGTCGACCAGGACAGAAATGAATTCGATCTCGGGTGAACGCAATTAAGTGACGCACTCTCGGCAAGGAAACGTATAAAGGACAATAAACCAAACTTACGTTGTCTTTCGGGGGATCTTCGTAAGCGCTGCTTTCAATGGAGAATGCAATGAAACAAAGAACAGCGCCGACCCATAACAGTAGAGAAAAACCACCAAAAAGCTGTTTACAAAACTTCACCCATTCTGGGGTGGTTTTGGGTGGAGTAAGGGCATTTGGACCGTCACGTTCAAGACGAAGTCTAGCATAAGCGTTATGTAAAGGTCCATGCTCACTTGGCTTGGTCTGCTGTGAGGCCATTAGTCGGATCTGTGGACAACCGCAAATATAGCTCCTCCAAAGATACCCGGTGCTCGTCCATATCCAGTTCTTGTTTAAGATCAGCCAGATTATCATCTTTAATAGATTTTTTCTTTCGTTTGTTAGAATTCGCCATGCGGTAGTTTTCACCACGCTGCACCAAAACAGAAAAGACACAGCAGAGATCGGCACATGGAGGACAATGAACAAGAAATATTAAAGTGTGTGCTTAATAACAGACAGTTGACCTACTGCCTTGGATGCACCCATCTTGCTCGGCAAAACGGGAAAGCGAAGCGCGCGTCGAACCTAGCGCTGTTATATATGATGGTCGATTGATAAGTCGATGCAACTTATAATGTTAACACGATAAAACAGAAGCTGAAATAGCTAACAAAATTTAATGAACACTATAATTGTAAAATACTTTAGAAAATGCAAACCATCGTAAATTGTTTACAGATATAGCAGCAAATGCGTTTATATAATTGATGGACAGCGCAGGAGAGGATTCAGATTCAGATTCAGATGGACTGGAACGATAGAAAAATCCCTTGAGTATTCCTTTTTGAGCAAAGCGTTGAGCCAGGAAATGGTAAGGTGCTAGTTCTTGATAGATCTAAAACGAAACACCCGAAACACCCTGATCAACTAATTACTGCCCACGTTCCCTGCACTAGCAGTCCCCGCTGTGTTGGTTCCATAGAGTAAGAAAAAGTAGAAAGTAAATGGAAGATAAAGGGGAATGAAAGTCATTAAAATGAAGGATAACACTAAAGAGTAAAGAGAATGACAGAATAAGAACTAAAAGTTTGAAGATTGGTATGATCAGGAGAAGGGAAAGGTTTCATGTTTCCACCCAAGAACGTCTAACTGACGCTCGAGACCCTTAACCGTAGGTTCACTGGCTACACTTTCTGGAAGCGAGTTCCAGCGCTCGGTAACTCTACACGATAACCGAGTTTCCGCCCTGATCCGGTCAGAACGCGGCTTGTGTAGCTTCATAGGGTGACCGCGAAGGCAAGGCAACCTAGCCGGGCTAAATAGCCAGCTGAAGTCTGGTCCGACCTTCCCTGTTAAAATGCGGTAAGTAAGGATTAGGTCTCCTCGAAGCCGTCGGTAGTGCATTGAATACATACCCAAGCTAAGTAGACGCTCGAGGTACGATTGCACCCTTAACCCCTCGACCAATTTGGTACCTACCTTCAAAACCCTCTCGAGCTCCATTTTGTCCCGAACAAGGCAGGGTGGGCAAGCGTGGACGCAGTATTCCAGATAAGGCCGGACGACAGTTGAGAACAGCTTCACAAATATGTCGGCAGTTAAGACCCCGAAAGAACGGCGTATTAACCACAACTTTCTGAAACCCCTACTTGCGGCCTTCTTCCAGTTGTCACCAGAATGCAAAGACGAGGAATGGATGACGCCGAGGTCTACCTGGTTGGAGAAAAGGGGGAGTTCGACCCCACCGAGTACTTAGCGCGAAGGCGGGAAAGTTGCTCCTATACGTAGGATGGAACATTTAGCCTGATTTATGGGCAGTAGCCACAAAAAGTAGACCAGTCCCAGAGTCTGTCCAGTGCATGCTGCATGGCCTCAGAACCCCCAGGAACATTTGCAACATTCTATAGCTTAAGGTCCTTAGCAACTAATAGGGATGATACCCCAAGCTCTCCAGTGAGATTGTTTACGTAGATGGAGAACAGCATCGGTCTGAGGACCGAGCACTGTGGGACTCCGTTAAGGACCGCTTGCTTAAAGGATAAGCTGCGACCCACACGTACACACTGCTCTCTTCCTCGTAAGAACGCAGGTACTCAGTGAAGGGCGCGTCCAGATACGCCGTAGGAGCTCAGCTTTTATGATAGCCTTAAGTGGGGTACCTTATCAAATGCTTTCGAGAAGTCTACGAAAAGCATATTCACTGCGTGGCTATTGTTCATTGCTTCGGCCGAAGCTTCACGAGCAACCAACAAATTTGTCAAACACGAAAACTCCTTCCAGAATCCAGGTTGTGCACTACTGAGTAGATTAAATCTATTCAGGTGACATTCCACCGAATCGCTCACCAGCTTTTCAAGCAGTTTGACCACGACTCTAGTCAGACTAACTGGCCTATAATTGGCTGACAGACTCCTGTCGCCATTCTTGAAGATAGGACAGATAACAGCCTCCTTACATTCGGAAGGTATTGTGCAGCTGTCAAGTGACTTCTGAAACACCATCGTCAGCGGCCCACTTTTTCCCCACCAACTCATGCAGAAGCTTCGGGTGAATCGAATCAGGTCCAGCTGCTTTGGAAGGGTTCAGTTCTTGAAGCAGTTTAAAGGCTTGCGTTTCCACCACAGTAAACTAAGCTAAATAAGAACCCTCTGGTACTCTGGGGACAAGTTCAAGGCTAGTCAACGCGGCCTCACGTACAAAGGCCTCTGCATACTGCTCCCCAAGTACACGAGCCTTATTTCTTATCTACATCTTCATTCCTTCTCTTCAGACTTACATTTATCACTTTCCAACCTCTTGACCACTGGATCCGTGGAAAAAGTATTAGGCTTATGACCTCTATGGTACTCCTAGTAAACGCATGCTACCAGACCTAAGCCTTGCATAAGATGATGAAAGCGTTTTCTGCTGCTGATGCACCCAAGCTTAGCATTAGAATTGTCCAAAATCGTCTAAACGCCGGCTTTAAATGAACCTTTATGTGTCTTCCTAGATGTCGGTTGCCAGCGGGCCCTAATTAAAGCTTTTTCATTAAGTCTGAGAACTAGTTACTATACTCAGCATTTTCCAAACACTATCAGTAGGTAAACAGCAAAATAAAACATATATCTTTCTTATTGTTGACAAAGAGCGTACTTTGAAAGTTCTAGGCCCAAGAATCAGACATTTTGCTCTCCACTTATTCTCTCTTAGCCCCATATACTTAGCTTTATCTGGTATACATGTGCCTTTCGCTATTGGCAACACTAGTAGACAGTCATAATGAAAACCAGATCCTCTTCTTTAACTGCTTTTGCTCGTAAAACACTCTCATTTCCAGATTTCATTTCACTGGCACGAAAGCCAACCAACGACAGAGAGGCCCCTGTCACACTGGCTGGCTGGAGCACCAGAAACTTTCCACCACCACTTTTCTTATCTTGGCCGCCCGTGTATCATTTATCTTTTAGCTGGCTCCAAAGCTTACCATGCGTTATGCGTAATGGTGGGTGAACGACCAGCTCCCACTGGTTTTTGTTACTATTCTACTCCTGATTTACCTTATCGCTCTTTGCTTCGGGTGCTAGAACAGCTCTTGCCAGGCAAATCACAAAAGAAATAGTCGGCGTGACATTAGAGTACCAGTTAACATTGCCATCTGGATGAACACCGCCGGCACTATCTTCGGAACTTAAGAACGGAGAGAAATATATCAAAATTCATCAAAGAGCTGCACAATAGTGTGCATCTACACACGAGGCATAACAATAACTCAAGTGTGAGCAAGCTCAACCACCAGAAGTAGAGCTGTTAAAGCCCAACCAATGTAGACCAAAACGGATTTCACGCCCAAATGCAATTAGCTAAATTTTACTAAATTTTCCCATGCTTATTTCTTTATTATTGGTGACAGGCTCCTGTAGCTCACTGATGTTAGTGACAGAGCCTCATGAACATAGAAAATCGGCTCTAAGGGATAAATCTTGTGATGTTTAGCCAAGTAATGTGTCTATTTTGTAGGCCGAAATCTGTCAGCCGATCTGAAAGATCCCCTGGTTTACTCAGGTAGACCTGGCTCATGCGGTCTTGTTATAAGCTTTAGTAAAGCTTAGAGGCTTAAAAAATGCTAAACTCTATTTTACTGGTTGTCTATGTGGCTCAGTATCCCCTGAAAACGGTATGCCGTGGCCTTCTAACCGTGAGTTAATTACAGGCTCCCCTGAATTCCCATGTAGATATAATATTCCTTGCTGGATTTCTAGTGTTTTCGCGCAAAACCATCCATTATTTGCATATATTTATCATGTATGCCTACAAAGTTTACTTTTCGGCCACCTGCGCAGCCCGTAGTTGTCGCAGGGTATTACGGGCTAATTAGAGCATTTATGGATAGCCATGCCCACCTAGATCGTATGCCACTTCCCTACTTTTTATGTTTTCTTTTCTTTTTTCTGCTATCTGCTTGCAAAGCAGAAAGCCATGTTTAGCGAAAAATAAAAATGGCCTTATTCGTAGACCATTATTTAATTGCGAATAACTCGCAAAATACTGCACCTATTGTGTTGCTTTTAAGTTCAGCGTATTCAGGCGCTAAAGGTGGTCCAGATCAGTGCAATTTTGTGCTACTTTAGGCGGTATTGTAACTGTAGAAGGGCATTTTCTTTTATCTGAGAATAACTCAGGTTGAAATTTCGCGCCGGAGAGCAATATCAGCGTAAGAAAAGTAGGGCTCTATTTTTTTTGTTAATTGGTCTTTTTCTACTAAAGCGCGCGGATTTATTTACTCTCTTAACAAATTGTTTTTATTCTTGCCTGCATTTATCGAAATTTTTTTTTAAAACTTTTTGGATGCCTTATAATCCCTTCACTCATTTCTTCCATGTGCGCAACAACAATTGGGGCAACTGAGTGGCCAATTAATGTGCGATCAATCTAAAGTGAACTTTCGGCGAAATGGATTCTGTTCCAAGGAGAAAAGGCACAACTCCGCGAAGTTTTTCACAATAAAAGAACAAGGAGCTCAAGATCGCCCGAAGGAACCAGAAAACGTCAAGGTGGGCGCCTGATACCCAGTAGCTGTATACCAAACAGTGCCAATGCATTTGGAATTTCTAACGATGAACATATATTTATATTTTGCCTACTTCCATGCAAGAGCATCGGGTTAATGTAAGCCTTGATCTGAACCGTTTAGGGTGCAGCCTCTAGCAGGTCTAGAAATATACCTATTTATTTATTTATTTATATATCTAAGTCACGAGTTCCATCGACCCGCGTCAAAGTTGTGATTACCGAAGTTGAACCATAGCGTCTCTTAACATAATTGAAAAATTTCTTCTGATTTTCCGAAGCTCCATCAGCCAATTCCATTTCGTATACCAGCCTAGCTTTCCTTAAGTGTTGTTTGCACCTATTTCTAGCCTCGCAGTATCTATCATAGGTGCTAGTTGACGGAGCCGCACGGTAGGTCCTCCAGCACCTAGAACGCTTCTGGATCAGGTACTTGACAGTGGTGTCTATCCACGGCGGCCGCGCTCGTGTCTACTTTCTCCTCAAAAGCTGGATGTAGGGAGTAGACAATTCAGTGAGATAAAATTTATATTTATCCCAGGCCGCCTGAAC